CATCATCATCATCATCATCATCATCATCATCATCATCATCATCATCATCATCAATCATCATCATCATCATCATCTCTCTTGCTCTGGGTTTTGCTTGGTCCGATAAAGCTGCACACAATTTTCTTCTACTTTGGGAGGACATTTCATCTATTACAGAGACCCCCATAAAGTCAAACGGTTATTTGCATTAAGAAAAGAGCATCTGTGGCCCCATTAAGCTTAATGGTTCACCTGATCCCACGGAGCTTTGCTCGGTTGTCGTGCCGATCAATGAGGTTATGCAGGATTTCCAGGACGAGTTGTCGTAGTTCACAGTCATCCATGAGCGAAGGAGACAGCAAAGGGTCCAGAAAAGGAGCGGGCAGAGCAGCAGAAATAGTTTTGGCACTGTAACCAGTAGTCACCTGGGGGGCACCAAAGAGAAGGTCTAAAGCAACCAACCCAAGAAATCTTTCAGCCTCACCCCCACAACCAAGTATCTTGCTCCACGCATACAGAAATAAATCAAGGGTTCTCATAAAGAGAGAAAGAGCTAAGCCAGCCTTACAAATACAGCCAGAAGTGTTACTGGCCTCCAAAAACATCTAGGAGTCCAGTAGCTAACAATGACGTGAGTTCTGGGGCGGGAACTCCACTGCTGCAGAATAAGTGAGGGGGAAGGAAGAAGAAGAGTTGGTTTTATACCCTGCTCTTCACCACCCAAAGGAGTCTCCAGAGTGAAAAATGCAGGTGAGAATAACTTAACTTCTTAAGGACTTATATTCTCTTGTATATTCCATAGCTGTGTTGTTATATAGAAAAATGTTTCAAGGTTTTCTTTGTACTCTTGAGGATGTTATTGATAATATGATATGGTATGAACTCTGGTATCTTCTAAAACCCAATAAATAAATTGTAAAAAATAAAATAAATTTGTACAAGAGTTTGTAAGAAGAAGAAGAAGAAGAAGAGAAGAAGAGATTGGATTTATACCTTGCCCTTCACTCAGAGTCTCAGAGCGGCTTACAAACTCCTTTCCCTTCCCCTCCCCACAACAGACACCCTGTGAGGTGGGTGGGGCTGAGAGAACTCTGACACAAACTGCTGTTTCAGGAACAGCTGTACCAGAGCTTGCGACTGACCCAAGGTCACATCAGCAGGTGCAAGTGGAGGAGTGGGGAATCAAACCCGGTTCTCCCAGATTAGAGTCTGCACACTTAACCACTACACCACTACAGCCGCTCTGAGACACCTTTGGGTAGTGAAGGGTGGGGTATAAATCCAATCTCTTCTTCTTCTTCTTCCCTTCCTCTCCCCACCCTATGGGGTAGGTGGAGGTGAGAGAGCTCTGAGAGAATTGTGACTGACCCAAGGTCACCCAGCTGGCTGCATGTGGAGGAGTGGGGAATCAAACCCGGTTCTTCCAGATTACAGTCTGCTGCTCTTAAATACTACACCAAGTTGGAGGACGCACATCTTCATGGGTAACTGTCTGAAGGCAGCTATAGAGGAAGGAAATGGCGTAGTCAACAAACATGTAAGTTTTGAGTCTGCTGACTGGCCAGCAGCAAAGCATGTGGGTCACTGATAACAGAAGGTACAATGAGCCAATCAGCAACTGTATGCTTTCCCAGCATTAAGAGTGTAGTTGTTAGGAGCATGGACTCTTATTTGGAGAACCAGGTTTGATTCCCCACTCCTCCACAAGCAGCTGCTGGTGTGACTTTGGGTCAGTCACAAGTTCTCTCAGAGCTCTCTCAGCCCCACCTACCTACTGGGTGTCTGTTGTGGGGAAAGGAAGGGAAGGAGATGTAAGCAGCTCTGAGACTCTGAGTTAAGGGCGGGGCATAAATCCAATCTTTTCTTCTTCTTCTCTAAGAGAGCAACCTTCTGCCTCCACTACAGCCTCCTGACAGTTACCTGTAAGCACATAATTCACCCCCATATTCAGTGGCCTCAACAGTAGCGATCATCACACATACCTTTGCTGCCTATAGCCACAATAAAGAAGCAAAAAGAAGGGACAATCTTCTGAAGCACTGGACCTAACTTAGCAAATTGTCCACCAGCAGATTCTTACTTCCCACCAGAGATCGGACAAGCCATTTTTTGCGAGTCCCATTTAGATCAGCCAATAAGGCGTCAGCCCTTGGGTGGCAATTCCAGGGAGACTTCCTGGAAGCCAGTTCCTGTTTTGAAACAGGACGTGACCTCATGGCACTCTAGGAGTTTCAAAAAAATCTCTGTGGTCTTACGTAGGGCATCATGATGCCCTTTCCTGTTCTGAAACAGGAAGTGACTTCCGTGAGCTACTGTTCCCTCCTATTTTCCTTCCACTGTTCCACTGAGTGAGGATAGGGGACAGGGAGTACCACCAGTATCTGGCAACCCTACCAATGGAGAAGGCAATTTTTTATTACAATGTAACAAACTGCCTGCTCTATCTAGCCAGTCTGATGTAGTGGTTAAGTGCGCGGACTCTAATCTGGGAGAACCGGGTTTGATTCCACACTCCTCCACTTGCACCTGGCTGGATGACCTTGGGCAAGCCATAGTTCTGATAAGAGCTG